TCAGAGGAAGAAGTCATGAACAATAACATGACGTCAAAGGAAGGTTAGCTACAAAAGTGAAGGGCGATCAAGTACTTCCTACCACTGTAGAAACTTTATATCACATTTCTGGCTATGGGTTCCTTATATCAAAACGTTCAACATTTCATCCTCTACAATCCCCCAAATTTTTAAAATGTCATTCTGATACACCCTGTATAGAAAACTATGAAGTTGGTAATAACAAAATCAAGGCGATTGTCATTTATAAATTTATTTTATTTTATTTTTATTTTATTAAATTTATTTTATTTATTTAAAATAAATTTATAAATTTATTTTACTAATCTAATAAAATTTATTTCAGAAATTTTAAATAAATAATTTTTAAATTTAAACAAAATAATTAAAAATTTCAAAAGTTTTGAAGGATGAGAATAATAAACAGCCAGTTAATAAACTTTCCGTATGGTTCTAATTTGTAGTAGTCACCCTTGTCCCAAGTTCGAAAAAAATTTCTTATTTCTAATTTATTTTTGACCTAGAAATATCAATATATTATTTATAACTCACTGTGCATAATAAGTCATAAATAAAAGTTCTCTCGGAAGGCTCTCTTCCTTTGGCAATTATGTTGCTCTAACCAGGGGCAGATCCACGTAGAGACCAATAGAGCTTAAGTCCTGGGCTCAGTGTCAAGGGCCCACAAAAATTGAATTATTATCATAAATTTTTTATACCATTTCATTAACAAAGAGCACTTATCGTATAGTAAAAATAATTAATATTAATACTATAATAATAATGATAATTTATAATATTATTTGTTTTATTGTAATCAATGAAACGTAATTGGTCAGGTCACCAAGTTGCAATTTTAAATCCCAATCTAAAGATTCTTGAATAGAAGTATTTGAAAGTAAGTACCGAGTTTCTTAGCAATTGGACGAACGGCCTAGAAGTATATAGCGAACAAACAAACAAACATCCTCATTTATGATCGCATGAGTCTATTTTGTAGTTACCCACCAAACCCCCCAAAATAAAATTGATTGACATGCGTAATTCTTAGCACGCGTTTCCATTACCATTCCGTAAGCACGTTTTTCATTGTTGCATAAACAATAGATGTTAAGAATACTTTTTCGGCGATTGTCTAAGTGAATTGTTCGATGCTAGTTTATCGAATGCGAATTTTGTTTAAAAAGATGAATTTTATGAGTAAGTTAAATTATTTTTATTCTATAATTATATTAACTCTTTAATAACGTGTTTGCAATGAATATAAAGACATACAATTAATAGTTTTTATTGGGATTTTTAAAAATCCCAATAAAAATGTTATGGAACGATATTTAACTTTGCATTCATTTTCTGCTGGAGACAATAAAGCCTGGACTCCACATTACCGGAATCCGCGACATAATCGTAAAACTGAAAGCCAAACTGACGAAACTTTCAGTTTTATAACGTTCAGTTGAACAGAAACCAGACTGAAAACAGAGTTAAAAATTATTTAACTTTTCCGTTTTCGTTCCGCGCTTCTGTCGTACTCCAACCAATAAATCCTTGCGTTTACGATAATCAAACTACTCGTGCATTAGTCACGTGTAGTTTGATTGTCGTAATGGCGGAAAGTGTAGCAAAAACGACGAGGAAACAAATAAATTTGGAATTCTTCATCGAAGTAGTTAGAAAATACACATGTCTGTACGACAAAAAAATGTAAATAATTCAAAGATTATTAACAATTTCATTGTTAACAATTATTAACAATTTCATTGTTAATAAATGCAGAGAAAGCATGGCAAAATCCGTAGAGTCGTCCATGTTTGACTCTACGACAATTACAGAACTGATCAACAGATGACGCATTTCTAGTGGTGTCAACTTAAAACGAAAACATAACTGAAACGAAAACTCTATATGTTTCAGTTCTGTTTCTGAGTTTCTGTTTTCAGGTAATGTGGAGTCCAGGCTTTAGAGCATTAAACGTATTTTCTGCAAATGAATAACAATTTATTATTTTATTTCTGCATCATTTCTAATATTTAAATATTCGGCTCCATTAAGATGAATAAAAAAGAAGCAAACAGAAATTACAACAACATTTTTATAATAACCTGTCAACAGTGGACTAGTTGGTTATGGTTTACCCCCCCCCAGTAGTACAGAATAAACGTAGGAAATTTTTAAAGTATTTTTCCATGCGTTTTTTCTCATTACCGTTTCGGAAAAAGATTTTGTAAACAGTTATGTCTAGTAAAGAAAAGTCTTTTTTTTTATTGTTACAAAATTCATTTTTATGTGAATTTATTTCCGCGGTAGTTTTAGGCTAGTTTTTGGCGATATCCCCGAAAAGAATTTGACGACCATAATCATCCCTCACCACTGCCACACGATCGCCCTTGTAAGATAAGATATTCAAAAATAAGATTGAAATCTATTGTTAATTTAAAATAATCTTATAAGAAGTTGTCACAACTGTAATCTAAAGGCAAACGTTCTAGTGTTTAATGTACACTTAAGACTTGATTTTGAATACATTTCAGGTTTTAGTCATTGAACAATGCTATATTTTATATTTACAAAATGTTTTGGTCTATTACATTATTTATCGATATTGCTGAATACAGATACAGCAAATAAATCGATCTTCACAGCTAGACAAATGTAAACAATGCTCATTTATAAGAAAAAAACTTGTAACGAAAGAGTAACAAATTTGGCAATTATTTTTAATTGGTTAAAATTATCCATTGATTTTCCTTTACTTTTTATCGTGGTTTCTCGAGTATAAATATAGGCTATAAATGAACATTTGATTATTTACATTTTTTGAAGTTAATCTACAAACTGAATATTTAAAACACATTTTACTCAGACTTTTTATTAAATTGTATCAATGAAGATAAAGTAAGCTTCTGAGTATAGCCTACGCTAATAAATATTTGTTCATTTATTTCGACTGAGAATAACTTTTCAGTAATATTACATTTTCAGTTGACTTTATGATTGAAACAATTTACACTTTCCACACAATCAATAATATCAAATCACAATGCAATATTTATGCTTTTATATCACGTTTAAATTAAGAAATTTCTAAGCAGAAATTTATTGATTTTTTTTATTTTAATCTTTATTTTTGTGGATTTGCTATAGAATAAAGTTTCAAATTATCTTTCTAGAATAACAATTTCATCTGTTTATTTGGTGTAACGGCGATAAAAATTATTTATATTAATGATGTCTCCAAAGTTCAGCGAAGTTTTCGCAGAAAAATAACATCAGAAATCGCGGCCGCGGTTTGCTGAGTTGTTCCGCGACGAAAACAAGCTTGAGCAATGGCGATGTCGAATGGTGCACACTCGGTAAGTAATCCTACAATTTTTTGTTTATAGCGTAGTTTATACAGATTATTCCCAATATATATATACGTATTTTGGAAATGTTGAGTCGGATTAGTCTAAAATCGATTAATTTTATGGAAGAAAACCGTTCAAACAGCCGTAGTCCGTAAACTTGACACGTGTCGGGCTGTGATTGGAAGGACTCGTAAGAAATCGGATTCCTAAAGAATGGAACGTATCTACTGTCTTATAGGGGGGGTCGACTGTATTTTATACCTCACCTCAGAGCTGACGTAACACTAGCTCAACTCCCGTAAATATTACGTAATCGGTCGGAAATAAAACTTTCGAAAAATATATCTAATGTCTATCTATATATTATATACTGTTATAAAGACACAAGCGCTGATAAATGATATAACCCATAGCCAATCAGAATTAAGGTTTAATTTATGACACATAATCCATATTATCCAATTGTTTGATCCGTACAAATTGCCCTGGGCAGTGGGTACCATGCTAAACCCTAGTTTCTGATGTTAGAGATCAAATAATCAGATTGGAAAGTGAATAAACAATTGTGGCTCAAGGGGGAAAGATCTCGTGTTAGTTTCGAACCCTTTCGTCTCCTTGACTCTTCATTCTCTCGCCGGATTAGCCTCGTGTAATATTCGAGCTGAAGGATTAGTATATCTATCGACTTACTGTCATTGAATACAATTTACCTAACTACTCGATGAAACTTGGTGAAACACAAGTAAAACCATTATCAAAATTTAAAACGAGTAAAAATTATTGTGACATCTGGCCTGCAATTTTTAATTATATTCTTAATTTATTTAATTTAAAATATATTCTGTCCACTTTAAATTAGTAGTGGCTTGCCCCTGTATATCATACTTTTCCTGATAACAACAGAGTCATGCCGGTCATCTATGTAACTCCCTTCTGGAAAAATTTTTTTAATTGAAATCACGCGAATTTCGGTCTAGACCGAAAGTTAATCGGGACTTCCTGGCCCTAAGATTCCCATATTTGGTCTTGACATTCATATATCTAACTTCTTTCTTGAGATTAAAGGGAGTTTTTTCAAGTTGCGGCCCAATTAGTTTCAAAATTTTCTTATAACGTCAGTACGAGTAGGCATAATAGGCAACAGGCTAAATAGAGGGAATGACAGCAGGACCATTCATCAGGAGAAGTATTTGTTTGAAATCCCAAAATTTAGTTTTATATACTGCACAGCCTATATAAAACACATTGTGGGTGATAGTGATATAAATTAAATTTTCTGTCGATACGCGGTTAAAAATGTATTCTTATGTTTTTTCTTTGTATATTTTTATTCAGAAGAAAGCACGTAAAATATTTATAAATATAAAAAGTACAATAAAAATTGTTTTAAAATGCATTAGACATTATTTTATGTAATTTTTCAATATAAATTCTGGTAATTTAAGATAATTTTACTATTTAAAAAGCTTGTTTCGCGTGAATGCTTTATTATCTTTTTTCTAAATGTTAAATCTTATTGACACGACATTAATCATAAATTAGGGACGAGATCAAAAATGCAGTATTTGAAATTCTAAACAATAAACTCTATTATATTACGATTATTTTTTACAACAATATTATATAACTAATGTTTCTTAACATCTGTTGATTTTATTTAGACTGTAGCCTTTCATTCAAGTCGCAGATTTGATACAAAAAACCTTCGTTTGGTGTTATTTCTCTTCTGCTTCTGACTAATCTAGTAGCTTCTTGAGCTGTCATATTCTTCTTTATCATTAAATATGCCAATACCAAAGTGGCTGAGCGACTGATGCCTTGTCGACAGTGGACAAAAACTCTACCTAAACAAAAATTAAAACTTTGTTACAAAGAGAATAAATCCTATATTTATCTTTTCAATGTTTACAGGTTTGTCTATAAAAAAAAATATGTTGTAAATATAAATTATTTTTCGCAAACTACTGAAAATCGTGTTTTAAATGATAATATGAGATTAATAGAAGATAAGAATTAAAAGTTTATTTCAAAACTTTATAAAAATTGTTTTGCTAGGCGTGGTCAAAGTTTTATCCCACTCGTGGGCCTTGATTGCTTAAACAGAAAGCTCCATCCCCTACATTATTTTTCTATATTACTTTAAGAAGATAATAGAATCGTCAGCTGTTAGAATCCTTTGGGTCGAACAATGATAGTGACGTAGCTACGGGGAATGTGAGGTAACTAAGCCCCCTAAAAATGTAATAGTCTCAGCTTAGACAGCAGTGCTCATATATGTAGTATATATAATAGACTTACTTTCATCAGTAAACTGTAGATAGTGTTAATTTTTAACACGTGAACTGCAACTAATAGTGCTAGTTAAAACAGATTCGTTGCATCCTTGTTCTCTTTGCATTGTAAGATAATGTAAACCTATTTTTGACAGATTAAATTAATTGCAGGTTCGTGTAAGCAATCTTACTAATACCAGGCTTACTTATAGGTCTACATAAGCTTTTTAGTTTGTTCCTTATTTATAAATCTGGCCTCACGATAATTTATTCTTTTCTACGAGACTGAACAAAGACCTCAGAAAAAATAAAATAAAATTTAGCAACCCTACCATAAATTTTGACTTAATAAGTAGATCTAGACCACCATGATCGGGTCTACAACTCAATATTAGAAAGAGGATCTATTGAGAAGTTCAGGTTAAAAGGGAAGAGTGTCGAGTAGTTTAAACATTTTACATAGAATATAATTTGATTATTTTACCACCAGACTGTAAAGCGTTGTCGATGTATTCGGCAACCGCATTAAAAAACTGATGTAGAGGAAAACTCGACATGTCCAAAGCATATATTCCATAAAAATCTATATTGACATCTTTATAAAATTCTGCACTAGTATCGATTAGATTTAACTCGGGGTCGGTACCGCATGCGGCATTTACAACGTGAGTAACGTTTAATCTTCTTAACAGCGGTCTGTTGAGAGCAGTTTCTCTAGAAAAGAACATTAAATTAAATAAAAATATAATAAAAGGATATATAAAATCAATATGTATACCTACCCATTTCCAAGTAGAATGTTCTCGTATACCTCATTATAAGGATCTTCTGGGAATTCGTATCGTCCAGTAGGAAATTTCAGTATAGAAATTAATTCCGATGGAGAGCAAATAGGACTCAATTTACTATCAGCCATAATAAAAATAACAGAAATCTGCGCATTGTGCTTTCTAAAAATAATCACTCTACGCGACGAGATTTGACCTACTTAACAACTGGATGAGTGAAACTGGAGTTAATTTCCTTTTAAAATTTTCGCATTTACAAATGTACATTTCATCATAATTATAATTAAAATTTTTAATTAGATATATTTTCTTCTAATAAGCTAAATCACGTAATTAAAATATTATAAAAGATTCTTATATAAAAAATTCCTTATTTAAATCCTTCTCTTCTGCTTCTGATTAATCTAATTGCTTCTTGAGCTGTCTTTTTCTTCTTTACCATCAAATACGCCAACACAATCCTTATTAAATCCTTAAAATATAATAAAATCTTTATTTAGTTAATTAATTGAGGACTTTTTAATATTTTAGAATGTCTACATTACGATTCTGTAAGTACAGTAATTTGTTTCTGCAATTACATTGATAACTTAAATAATATATTAAACGTATTCGAATTTTTATAGCTTAAATCCTTTTAAATGTATAGCTTAGAATTAATTACATTAATAAATATAAAAAAAATTTTATAAAATTACAAAATTTTTGTTGTAAATTGTAAAAGCAATATTTATGATGTTTATTAATGGAAAAATTATTGTTAAAAAGTTAACTTTCATATCATGAATTTTGAGTTAATAAAATGTTTTTTTCTGTTCTTTTTCCAGTAAAGACATCTATATAAGTGCAATATAGACCTACGTATGTTAAATGTATACACTTACTCTACCTGCAATACAATATGCTGCCTTACGAAAGCCATGTGAAATGAGATGCGGTCTTCTGACTAGAAATGATTTCACAACTTCGAACAGTTGATATCTAAACAAATTTTATTTTATAAAATAAATGCTATTTCGCATGTAAAAATGTATGTTATATGCGTATAAATATGATTCTTTTACATCCAAAAAATGTATAAATACGAGCAATTATTTATTATGACGTTGTCACAGTGCCGAGCTGAAATTTTTAAACAACTTAATTTAAATTATATGCTCTCCACCTCAAATTACCCGTGTCTTCCCCCTGTACATAATACTTTTCCTGTTAGCAATAGTCATGCCAGCATCTATATACAGTAACTCCTTTCAGGGTAAAATTTTTGAATTAAATTTACATGATTTTCGATTAAAGCTTAGGGGCAGGAGGCCTCGATTAACTTTAAACGAACTTCTGTTTAGTTCGTTTAAAGTTAATCGAGGCCTCCTGCCCCTAAGCTTTTCTCATCTGATCTCGACTTTCATATATCTAACACGGTTCTCGAGATTAAGGAAAGACAGACGGACGGACGACAGTGGGAATTTATAGGTCTATAAATTTTTCAAATTGTAGCCCAATAATCATATTACACTCAAAATAAAAAACAATTTTATACGAAGCATTAAAACATAATGGAATATTCATAGGCGTACTGTATTCCAGGAGACTGATGTCCGTCCCCTACCAAAATTTTTAAAATAAATTTTTAATGAAAGTTTCTAATATTTTCTAATAGTTCAGTAAAGATAAATAAATCAAGCATTCTTTATATGAGTATAGGCCTTATTATATTTATCTAAAAAGTAATTCTAGCGACAAATCTATTTTCGATGCTCCTTTTATGTCTCAATATGTTTATTGTAATTGGCCTCAATTTTGCGGGCTTAACCCAGTGGCAGACGTAGTTACATGTGAGTGTTGAACGTACTGAGACATCGCCTTTGTAAATCCAGTTTATTAATAACACCTCGGTAAGAAAACAATAATAACAATTTTTAAATATTCTATACAAAAATATAAAATATTTGAATGTATGCTATACATGTTTTTACTACTTAATAACTGGCCAATAAAATTTTCTTTTCGACCATCAGAAAATATCTTAAGTAATACTGTATTTAAAATTTATATCCAGTAAAATAAGTGCTGTTGATCTTATTTTGCAAACTGCGTTCGTTTGTATAGGGCAACACGACAGGTGGGTGATGTGTCTCAGGAGGACTTCTATGGGAAACAGACTCCATTTAGGTGCTATAAACGCGAAGAAAATCCGGAAAATTCCACGTGCCAGTTATAGTTGTGAAGGAGAAAATAAAATGTTTTTATTGGTGACGAATTTTTTTTTCTTAAGCTGAAAAAATAGTTTAGTTAATTTTCCATTGTTATATTTAAACATACAAAGTTACATTTAAAACCTGTGTAAATGTGGACATATTTTTAAAAGGTTTTGAAAAAATCATACAGTTTAAATTAATTTTGTAGTCTTTGAAAGTGACTGCTGCTTTACATCAGCTTTTTCATTTCCCGAAATGAAATAAATGTGAAATTAACTCTATTATCAATTTCACAATATTTTTCTACTTTTAAAGAGAGAATTTACAAGTGATTTCGGGACTGCGAGACAATTAATAATGATATTTTTGCATCTGGAAGAAATACTCATTTGTATATAAATAACTTTATTTATTTTTATCTCACTACTGTATGTGATTATAATTCATACGGTATTAACAAAAAAAAAAATTATATATTTTAGCCTTAATGGAGCGTATAGGCTATACCTTTAACATTCTCTGAATACACCCCCTGTTATTCTTCATCTATTTTAGAATGTTTGCCATTATATTAAACACTCAAAGTTAATTCCTATTTACAGTCGAAAATAATAAAATATGTTTTACTTCTATTTTGTAGAACTATGTGTTAAAGTACAGAAAACTTTTTATATTAATACCGTTTTTAGTATATTTTTGGTTTTAATTTTGTTCATTCTAACATCTTTCCCGTCCCAACCTCCCAATTTAATCATGCTAGCGAACACATTCGCCTTAATTTTGAAAATCTACGGACGATTGTTCAATATTATAAGAATGTCGTTAATACGTTTTACTTTAAATTAGTGTATAAATTAAATGCCATGTAAAGTAACAGATTACAAAAAGGCCTTAATATACTTTTGTTATCCAGGATATAGTGCACAATTTATACACATCCTAATGGTGTAGTTTCTACATATCAGTCTCTTGCACTTACTGGCATGTTTTCTTTGTCTATTTTTCATGGGCAAATGCAACGCTTCTTCCATTTCTCACAATTATTAAGCTATGACATCATTTTAATTACAAGGTATTTCGGCCGCCAAACTTATGTAATAAATTTTAACAATAAATGTCGTGATTGCCCAAGGAAATGTCTTCCAGTCTGAGAAATAATAAACTGGTCTTACTGTCAAATGCGCAATAGAGTTTTCCCCATCAGAAGTGAGTTAAAGTAATCATAAAGCAAACTTATATTCTATATAAGGTATACATATAGTTTCACAGACAGCTATAGTTGCATGCCGTTTCTATTAAACTCTTTACCTAATCTTTCAAATTTCTCACAACAGTAAATGGTTTATTTCTTCAACTCTACAATAACCAGAATTACAGAGATCTCATTCCTGATAAAAACACGTTAGGATCCTGGCGGAATGAAGCGTGGAAAGGAGCTTCTAAAATGGTAGGAGCCACGGGAAAACATAATACTCGACATGCAGGCCAAACTAGCGAAATATATTAACAATGACGTAGGCTTATTCTTCAAAACCGTCGTCATTTATAGGAATTTATTCTATCAAATGTAATCATACGTCCCTCGAAATCATTAACGATGTAATTAACAACTGACTGTCGATTGGTTTAACTAACTTATTAGCTTGATTTATTAGGTGAATCCACTTGGACCATACGAATAATTAAATTCACCGTGGATGGAAAATGAAAGCAAATTTGATTGATTAAACGAAGTTTTGAAATTCAAATAAATATAAATGATTTCAGAGATTTTGCAGATGACAATACAGAGGGAAAAATTGCATCAATTCCTGAAACAATAAGAAAAGTTAGAGAAGTAAGTAATGCCTTAGCCAATTTGCAATGCAGAAGCTGAAACAGGTTTGTGTTAATGAATGTAATATTGATATGTATAAAAATAAAAATAAAAAAAAACACTAATTGTTGAACATTGAATTTGAATTCATGCAATCAATTTACTAGAAAAAGAATTAAAAGATTTAGATCAGTGTTTCTCAACGGGAGCGATTAGTAACAATTTATATTTTTTGGGGGGGGGAAACAATTTTCTGGGCGATATAGTAAACATTATATTAAGAATAATTAGATATTTTATTCGTTATATCGTACATAATTAAACAAATAACATTTTACTAGTTACTAGTCTATTCAATGCAGTACGCATTTGGCATTAGCTTTGGCAGGAATTTTGAAGTGAAAAGACGATATTACGTAACGGTTTTATTGAAGGGGGCGACGATTCGTTACAGGTTGAGAAACACTGATTTAGATTATTTTCACTAATAAATTCATTAATCTAAATAATAGGAGACATTAAATAAGTGGTTATTCTAAAAAATATATTGCCCAATGATTGAACTTTGTGCTATTTATTCCTCTAAACATAAAAAGTTAACAGAAACCAGTTTGACTCTAATAGTTATGTCAAGGACATCTTGAAATTAATTTGATTTTAAATTTTATTGCAAGTAAATAAAATATTAACATTTTAAAATTAAAATCCACTTATCTTAAGAAAACCAATAGCATACACTTCATAAAAATGTATGCAGTCTGAAATAAATCTTGTCAATTCTTTATTGGTATACATTTGTCTAATATAATTAAGAAAACATAAGACCTTCAAGCTTAACTTGGTCTCTATTTTATAACTATTTTCTTTAGTTGTATAATTTGCAATTCAACACTAAAGAAAAGACTACTCACCATCTGACCATCCCATTGTGGGACTGGCCAAACCCATGATAGGTATGATTAAAAGGATGTCTTCATGCCAACAGAGTAAAAAGAGTGTTTAAAAGAAAAAGACTGGTGTCATTTTGATATAATCAAACAGGATATCCCAACTTGATATACATTTTTAATTAAGCAACTTATAATGAAACATTTTTCAATTAAATCTTCTGCAACTATTCTAGTTAATTTTAAGTAAATATTTTAAAAATTTGAGACAATTATTTCTAACTATGTATAACACAAAAGATAACAAGAAGAAAAATTCTGTCAAAAGTTCTATGGATATAGATAGTTGTCAAATATAGATCTAAGTAATTTTATAATATAGGATTACAGAAGTTAAGATATGATTTTTATTGCAATAATTACAAAAAAACAAAACAAATGAAGACAAGACTTTCCTCAATAATTTATTTATTTATTTCAAATCAATCCCTGTTCAGAAAATTGCATCTTCATTAAAACTTAATAAAATCTTTTAGATAACTCCAAATATGAAAGATAAAAAATGTTCATAAAAACTTTTATTCTTTTGATCCTCAAATGATCTCTTTAATCATTTCTGANAAAGTATATACATAAAAATAAATCGCGTGTTAGAACAGACGTTTCAACGCAACGCTCGACCTTGAGACTTTCAATTAAAAGCATTGAAATATAGGTTGAATGCTTATAATATCACTAGTTTCTGTCTGTTAAACATGCTTGTTAAATCTTTCTTCATTACGATATGGAGCCAAATCTTATTAGGAACTAGGATATCTCTAGACTGTGCAACAAGTTTATTATTTGGAATCATTTATTGTAGGGAAACACGTAAAATAGAATGCGCTAAAAATCCAATTTTACTGGAAAGTGCTACTTCTTTAGCAGAGAAGATACGAAAAAAACAGGTATTAATGCATTCGTAATTGTTATAAATGATCAGTTTTATGTGTGAATGATACATAAACGATATAATGCTTTTTAATAGTTGAAAAGTGTGGAGGTAATTGCAGCGTATATTTCTAGAATCAAGGAAATTCAACCAATATTAAATGTTGTTGTAGAAAACAGATTCGAACAAGCGTTAGAAGAAGGGAGAAACGTGGATGAGTTAATAGCTTCTCAAATATATACAGAAGAAGCATTAGAACAGCGTTTTCCCCTTTTAGGTGTTCCCTTTTCTTCTAAGGAATCATTAGCTATTAAAGGTAAGCATGTATAGTACTGTAATATATATGTTTTCCTTTTACACGTTTCTGTATTATTCAATTCTTATTTATGACTTTTATTATTTGATCCGTAAATACATATTATAATTTAATTGCATTCCAGAAAATATTAAAGAAGAATTTCTTCATTTAGAAGTTAAAATTTTCTACAGTAAAGGGTTTCTCATAAGTAGTTGACACTTTAATCCAGGAAGAGAATTAATCCACATATGATCCTCTGCTCTAGGAGTCATCCGTGGATTAATTCTTTTCTCGGAGATTTCTCGTTTAAAAGATTATAAATTGAATGATAACAAAATGAATAATTATTTCATTATATCTAATTCCCAAACTAAATTAATTAGGTATGAGAGTAACATGTGGACTAGTTTGGAAAAGCGATAACTTAGCCTCTGAAGACTGCGATGCTGTAAAATTGTTGAGAAAAGCCGGTGCTATACCTTTAGTTACTACGAATGTACCGGAAATGTGCGCATCTTGGGAATCGTACAATAAAGTATACGGTCGTTCTAAAAACCCTTATAACATTAAAAGAACTGTCGGTGGAAGTAGTGGTGAGTACAAGTAATTTCTATTGTTACTATAAAATATTTAATTAAATTCAATTGTGATATATTATTTTTTTTAATAAAGATTTTTCTAAATTACTTTACAAATTTCTACAGAAAAAAATACTATTTTTAATTTTCATCATGTAAACTAAATGTTCTAAATATTACTAGGATTTGTTATAAAAGAAAGTAGAGTACAGTACCTAGATTATCAGATGAGTCATCGCCGCCATGTTCTGTCGATTGTCATCACATGGCCTATGGGTTTACGTTAAGAAATGACAATTTTTTCAGTTTAATAAAGCATTTTATTCGTTTTTTTTATTCAAGAATATGACGAATAGATGAATCTTACAGGCTCGATAAGTTTTAAATCTCTAGCATTAGTATTTCTAAATAAAAATTTAATTTTATTTACTTAATTAATAGAAAAACTTCTAGATCGAAATTCCAAACGTTATTTTAAAGCAAACGTAAGAAATCAGTCAGTAGTTAATGAAATGGATATTTGGCAAAACTACTTCTGTATTTACTAATTTTACAGGATTTAATGTTGGATTGTACAACGTACGCGTGCTTATACAACATGCAAAGATAAAGCTGGGTGTTGGCCTGACATAACTCATCTCCTCTCTCCCGAGAAAGCTTTTGAGGGTTTTATTAATAGATTTTTGTATTTTTATTTAATGTCCCGTCTTTATGCTGTAAAACTATCCTTTTCTTCCTTTAAATAAAATAAAGTTACAGTAGTTTGCTCTTACACTCGCAGGAGTAAAGATGTAGCCTATTATTTTGTTATTTCACTATGTAAAACTTTTAACATCAAGGCTATTATATTTAAATACTTTAATATAATAATCAACCAAATAAAAATTATCATATTTGTATCTAAATTGCAGTATTGCATGATGAAAAGTAATTTAATAAAACTTTTTACAAGTTTAAAGCTTTTTATATATGTATAATAATTAGGCCTATACAGTATAAGTTGATGGTAATAAAGCGTATCAAGATCAAAAGGCTATGCAGATAAAATATAAAAATTTATTAAATGAACAATACATTTTTATTTGTAACAGTTCCATATTTTATTACATCAATAATCAAACTCGTGTTGGTGAATATGGGGATAGAATATGGCTAATTTTGTAGCTTACTCGTGGATTTACTTGCATATGGATTTGTTAAATTTGTAATTTTTCTTTTGCTTTTTATTTTTAACATGAAAGATATAAATCTTGTCATAACTTTTTCTTTTAATTTATGGCAATCTGGAATATGATCATTTTAATATATTTGTTAAATTTTTCCAAATAAAATTTAATTTTTTTAAAACTTTTAATTTCAACTAAATTTGAATATTCTAATAGAGGACTTTCTTTGGATCCTACTGATGTAATACATTTGTTACAGGTTTTCGAGGTTTGTTCTATACTTGTTATTAAATAACCAGATATATTATATAATAAATTCATTTCTGCGTTGTTTAGAGGCATATTTTCAGCTTCAAAATTTTCTAGTATAACAAGTTTATCATATTCTTTTGTATGTTCTGATAGTGTTTACATGTTTAACATTTTTTTTCACATAATCTTCTATATAGTTGTTTATATTTTTTAAAATTCTGTCGTAATATAAATATATCTTTTGTATGTTCTTTATATAATGTGTCATGATTTACAGAAATGTCTTCAGCTAATGTGGTTTCTTCTATACTAAAACTGGATTCAAAATGACTTTTAAGACACCTTTAATGCATTCAGCAGAATAACAATACAAAAGTATTAGTATGTAAAAGAATCATTTGTATAATGAATTTTTATGCCTTTTAAATTGTATTAGCGTTACAAATGATATTTTAAATAATCACATATTACTAAATAAATGCTGCAAATGCTGCTTTTCAATAAGGTTATATAATTAGTATATAGCAATGTTTTTATATGTTTAAGGTTTGTGACTATTTATCTTTCATCTATATAATTTATTATGTTAGAACAAAACTACAGTACAGCATAATAATTACAGTACTCCAATCAGATAAGCTTCATTCACTAATTTTTAAGTTATTCTAGCAAAAGAAACATGCAAAATATAACAATTTATGCTTAGTTAAACACAAAAAGTTCTTTAAACATACATATTCGTTGTGGATGGACAGTTTTCTAAGGAGCAATAATTTCGGAAAAATTAATAGAAAATTAAATTTTAATTATATTTTGTTACCTTACACTAATTTTTGCTCTTCTTTTTGTACAATACAAACAGTTTATATATATTTTTTCGTTTTAATAACATCGCTTAAGCGTATATCGGATCTGACGTAAACAGCTACTCTAACTATCGATTGTTTTTTTCGTTCGTTGCCTTATATTAAAGCTTAAAAACGAAGGTAAACATTAAATTATAGCAAAATAATGCCTACCTGTTCTCAGATGTGTTCGAAAACGTCCAGATTTCTTAATAAACGACTTTAAAGAACACCAAACGATTCAAAATATACAGAGCCGCGCGCCATGTTGTCAGAACCGACGTTGCCAGATNAAGCAATCAGCGATCTTAGAAATGATTTTATTACATTTAAAATTGTGAATGAAATTTAAATTTTCAATTAAAAAGGTTTGAGTTGAAGTTAGTGGATTCTTGGTTAAGACACAGAGTGGCCCAAAAGTCATTTAACCGAACAATATAACAATATATTGCAAAGCAATAATTATAATTGTAATGAAGTTAATAACATGCGGCTGTTTTGAAATAAGTTTTAACTATAATTATGCTTAATAAAATATATCGCGTTTAACTGACTTTTGGACTATCTGGTATTTTAGAAAATAGTTTCGTTGATAAATTTATATATAAGACAATATAATTTATGCTTAAAGCGTGAAAATTATAGAAAATATACTTCATTTAGATATTTAATGAAGAATTTTTATTTTCTATTAAATTCGAATTTCTTCTGAATTTTCTTTGGTCGCAATTGATTGATAATTACATTTAAATTGAATTCTTTATTATGTTTTTTTCTTTTTAAATAAAGCACATTTTCTTTTTGTTCTGTGAAATGTCATTATATTTATGATGCTTCGAAAAAATTAACTTTTTTTTTAAAAAAAAGAATAAAATGTGGTTCAATCAATCAATTCTCTTTGGACCAGTGCCCGTTAGAATGTGATGCAATCCTTGTCAGCTTTTTCCATGCTGTAAATGTAGTTAAATCTTTAAAATACAATTAATCACCCGTATCAAGTCAAACCCTTGAACAACAACCACTGAAATGAACATAATAAAACTGGCCGTTGTTCGAAAGTGTTATTTAGTATAGATTTTTGTTAAGAAAACAAAAGTTTTCTGGGGAAAGGTCGCTGTTTATAGGTGACCATTGTTGGAAAGTAACCGTTATTAGAGGGTTCGACTGCATTTAAAGCAGTAGTTTGAAACACGTGGGCCACTTGTTATCCCGGAAACTCTATAATATGGCAGTGGCCCTAATCTTAAAAATAATGTTATTAATTAAAATAATAAAATGTATTTTTAAAATATAAAATAAATCAGGACAATAATAAAATATAAAAACATTCACAGACCAGAATAAACTACAAATGTTGATATTGGAGCGCTTTTTCAACACTAATATCGGGCTACAATTCGGCTAATTATTTAAATTAGCCGAATTGTAGCCCGATCATTTAGGCGATCGTTGGATATTTCTGTGGTTTCTTCTGACTTGTTCCTGAGGTTATGAAAAAGAACAGAAAGGCGGTTTCTTCTAGTTTGTGAATGTTTTTATATAGTTAATATATTGCAAGTTAATTTTCAAATCAGTGACTAAAAATTTTTATTGTTCCGTTTAAATTCTTACTTTTGAAGAATTTTAGTCAATAAGTTGGCGAGTTCTTGTCTCAAAGGTAAAAGTTTACTTTATTATATAGAAATACTGTACAATATGTTAGGTCTCCAGTTATGAAGTTTTAAAATTCTTTCGGGGACTTGGCGATGAAATAGAAATGTTTTTAGAAGTGAAAGGAGAATCAGCAGAACAACTTATTGATAAAGACTGGTTTCAGGATTACGGATATTAAAATAAATTAAACTTGAAACTTCAAGATCGAAATCTACATGCCACGTTTTTTGTGGGACGTATTATAGCATGTTTGGTGGTAGATACTTATGTGAACAATTATTTTCCATTTTAAAGACTAACAAGAGCTCATACAGAGCGAGATTAGCAAATATGCATTTAACATCTAATTAAAAAAATTATCATTACAAGAAACTTTCCCGATATGAAATGAGGCCCGAATAAGTCATAAATGCGGTCTCATTTCTTTGCGATAGCCATAAAATTATGTAAATGAAATAAGTAAAAACATTGTTAAAACATTTATCAAAAACTATAAGTTGTATCAGGGCTATCGAGAGGGAGAACTGAGAAACTTTCCCCGGGCCAGGAGAGAAAACTTACAGGTTGGTAATTATTCCTACCACCATAAAACTAACTTTATTTTTACTAAAACAGAAAATAAAATCTTTAAAACTGCTTTTTATTAGTAAAGAAACATTCTATATACTTCATTTATTCAAAAAATAAAAAACTAAAGGAACCAGCTATGAGGCAAAAGAGAACGAACTTGTCTGTATTGTTGCAAAAGTTTTTTTCATTTTCAATGTTTTTCTTTGTTTTTAAATAATTATTGTACGAACATTTACACACAATATATTATTATTAAATAAACATTTGTAAAGTACAGTTCCATTGTATTTTATTGACATATTTTTCCTCATATATTCATGCATTTCGTAGATAACGCATACATTTTCTTAATAGATACTTGTTATTTATAGTCGGTGCGATAAAGTTGTTACTTGAGTTGCGTCATTTTTGTGTCTTTAAAGGATGAAAGAATTGTTTATGAATACACATACTATACTCCGTTGAGCTTCATTTTGTCTTATAAATGAATCGAGTGCATATGGTTAATTTACCGTATTTTGACGAGTATAAGTCGCACTTTTTTTTACTACTTTTTGGGGCTCAAAATCATGGTGCGTCTTATACTCGACAGGTAACCATTTTTACAGTGAAATTACCTACAGTAGTGGTCCACTCTAGGGACCAACTTGTGCAATGATCCGTTAAGCAGATGGTCCCTCAACCGAATGGCTAGAGTATCGAGATTATCAGAGTAGCGACACACGAGTCATCGCCGCCATGTTCTGTCGACTGTCATCACATGACCTCTGAGTTTACATTAAGAAATGACGATTATTTCAATTTAATAAAGGTATCGATTAATCCATCCGTCATATTCTTGAATAAAAAAACGAATAAAATGCATCTTTAGACAATCCCATTAAAACAGTTTTTTTTACTAAATTTTTTGTCTCAAAATAGGGGTGCGTCTTATACTTGACAGCGACTTATACTCGTCAAAATACTGTAGTTAGTTACAACAGCATTATTATCTTCTATTAAATATTTATATTTATTAAAAATTTTTGATTACAAATTAAGGGAAAAAAGACGTATCTATCGTCTTATCAATCTCTCCTATAGTATAATAAGATGAAAGGCCTAATGGCCTAATGGCCAACTCTGGTTGCACTCACTATACTTTACTATCAGCTGATTGCAAAATAACATGTTTTAGTTTACATTGACCACGAATGGTTGTCCGTTTTATATCATTATTATATTATATTATATTTATTTCAAAATTTCTTGTATGTTTCTTTATTTAAGGAGAGACTTTTTCGAAACATCTCTCTTCAGCTGTTAGGCAGGGTAACAGAGTTTTCGTTTTTATAGATTATAGACCGCTTAATCCGTCATTTTGGAAAGAACTGATAACATAGCCAAAAAAAAAAGCTGACATTTGCTCAAAAAACATCGAAAGCCGAAATTTTAATCGAAATATAATAGTTTTGACAATATTGATGGAGTTATTTAGTGCAAGGTGTATAGAAATAGTAAAATAAATTGTTAAATATCATTATTTTATCGCATTCGTTTTGTACTTTTGATCATTTTTCACTCGTTATACTAACACAGGGTAGTGTAAAACAACAATTCCTCTAAGTATAGAATTGAGACCCTCAAGTAGGGTTACTAATTCTTCTTATATGGCTGTGGAAACAATTTTTCATAAACGTTATTCCTCTGCTTTCGTTTGGTTTCTTTGACAGCTTTTGTTTTATATTTTGCTTAATAATATAAAAGATTTTTTTTAAATAAAAACTCATAAAAAACAGCCGGAAAACTTACGCAACTCTCGTTGTTAGATTTTTTAAATCATTAAATTCATTTTCGTAAAAAAAAAGTATGTGTGGCCACATTCACCTTTATGATGGGGTATATCCTGACTTTGTAAGGTGTATTTTAACCTTCTATGAGTTGAATATGACCATAAAAATTCTTCTATAGTTTCAACAGAAATTGTACCCTTATTGCATTGCAAAAATCTTTTTATAAAATCATATCCACATAAATTTACTCTAAGGGCTGTTTCACACTATGACAGACTGGACCGATTGGTGCGATCCGACCGATCCTATAATCGGACCGACTAGTAATAGAAGCATTCACATGCTTCTATTATAGAGTACGATTATATGTCGGTGGCCGATTCGTGAGGACCAATCGGAACGGGTGTTAGAAATCGTTAAGTTTTTCCAATTTTTAAAAATATTTTTGTAATCTACTTGGTTAAACTTTGCGGAAATGATCTTATTTCGTTTATAAATTCTTCAGAAAAGTCTAAATAATAACATCTTTTCTCATTAGGTCGATAATGTTTTTTAATACAGTAGAGCCTCGATTAACCGACACCTCGGTTAACCGATCGTCCTAGTCGGCAAATTTCAAATGTCCGCTAGTGATGTGGCGCTAAAATATTTGGCTATGTCTTGGCTACTTTAACATTATTTTTACGTGTTTTAGCTGGCAAGACTCATTCGACCATGAAAGGAAGCCAGTATTTAAACGAGGCTTAATTTTCTAATTTTTAACGATACAATANAATCTGATTTACTTTAGAATTATATAAATCCTTAAAGTATAAACAATTATTTTTCTTCATTTTTAAATTAAAATATAAACTACAAATATATTTTTTAAGTTTTATTTTCTAGAATGTTATATTTATTGCAAAATCTCCATATTTATTAAATAAAATTGTCAGGGCATAGAACATTTATAGAAAAAAAATATGTTTAGTCAAACGAAAATATATTTTTTTTCTATAAATCTCCATATTTATGTTTAGCGTACAGATATATGATTTTTAAAGTAAAAATTTAATCTATTTTTTCTTTATTTTTTTATAGCCAGTTTCTAGACACTAAACTGTACCGTTCAATGTCAACAATTCACTGCACCAAAATTATACACACGAAAAATTATGTACACAGCTGACGACTACTGTAACAAAACAATATAACAGACACTATAAATGACTATTTTTCGCGTGCATTTTAAAGATTTAATTAATTAATTATGTACACAGCTGACGACTACTGTAACAAAACAATATAACAGACACTATAAATGACTATTTTTCGCGTGCATTTTACAGATTTAATTAATTAATTAATTAATTAAAAAGTTAAAGTCGGTCGGCCAACTGCTGTTGCCATAGCAACACGACTTGGAGTCGAACCAGTCGGTCCAGTCGGTCATAGTGTGAAACAGCCCTAAGCCGATGAATTTTTGCTCCTTTATGCTCCAAATAATCCTTTATGACATGTCGTAATTCAATTGTTGTAATGGGAAATCTAAATTCTGATGCCAGAATAAGAATTTTTTTTTCTTCTGCGGTCAAAACTGACCTCCTTTCGAAGAATGGTTTCCATTAATTTTATTTTGTAAGATTGTTCTTGCAATGTTCTCGTTGTGACATACTATTAGATTTGACAACTTTAACTACAGATTGTATTGTATGTTTACTACGAACAGCACACCGTATCGCATTGCCCACTTTTAGGCATGTAACGCCTTGGCATTATTTCTAAAAATATGATAACATTATTTAACATAATAAATATAATAATTAATTCATATAATACTCGAAATAGCCAAAAACACAGAAGTAATCAACAAAACTTTTCTATGATTTGCTGATTACTTCTTACTATAGGCTACATGATAAAAAACAGCTCCATTTACAACTTATTTTTTATTGCAAGGGAATGGGGTCATCATTGGCCACATTAATCTCATAGAGTAGCTTTTGTAATATAATAGTAATTGAAGAAAAATTAATTATGCTTCAACTTTTTAACATTTTTAAATTGAAACTAGAGGCATTAATAATTATTTTAGCAAAATATAGAGTCAAATGCATTCACCATTTCTAATATATAGGCCTATATATAGAATATAGAGATTATAACTATCTGTTTAGGAGGTGAAGGTGGTCTGTTAGGAGCTGGAGGATCTGTGATTGGAATTGGTTCTGATCTCGGTGGTAGCATTAGAATTCCTGCTCTCTTCAACGGAATTTTTGCTCATAAGCCAAGCAAACGTAAGAACCGATCGATTTTTCTTTATACATATTTATTACCTTTGATATATAATTTGAATTAAAATGCAAACATTGTCGTGTAAACTTCCATTACTCCCTTTAGGTATTGTGTCAATCAAAGGGATATTTCCACAGTTTTTACACGATAACGAAGATTATTGCGTTGTTGGGCCTATGACTCGATATTCTACAGATTTATCATTAATGATGAAAGTTATGGCAGGAAATAATGCATCGCGACTGAAGCTTGACGAAAAAGTTGGGGTTTTTTAAAATTACATTTACAGAACTTATTTTTTAATTTACTTTTATTAAATTTGATTTTATTTTTAAAAGGTAGATTTAAGGAAAATAAGGATATATTATATGAAATCTGACGGTGGAAAAAATCCGTTATGTACTCCGATGTCTAAAGAAATGAAGAATGCTATGCATAAGGTAAAAAAAAAAAAACTATTCGAATCTATAACGAACAGTAATTTTTATGTACAAATATAAATAATATATTCGTACATAGAAATTCATTTCTCTGATTTAGCCTACTAAATAATTTTAAAAGTTTTATCAAGTAAAGTGTCAATATGATAATATAAGCTATGCTATTAGGCTACATATTCATAACATAATCATCCTGTTATAACTTTTTACACAGATTTGAAATAAGGATATCCTCATACTATATATCAATATTAACTTTATGAGTTACTTAATACAGTGTCATAAGACTTCTTTTGTGGTAAATTATTGAATTTCATTTTATTTTCTATTGGCCTATTTTTACTTTTCCGGGTGTTATGTATAACAGAGAAAAGTATGGTAATCAGTCAAAAAATAACCTCAAAGATTTTTACTTTTTTTGGACTCGAGACCTTGAAACGTCGAAAAATGCAAAAAATTTCGGGTTTTCTTTTCTGTGTGTATGTGTGGAGGAGCACGATTTTATTTACTACTTTGAAGTTTAAATAATTCCTGTGTCTCTTGTCGAAAATTTCTAAAATTTTGCAAAGAAGTTTGAGTATTGGGGATTGATGCTATCAAATTTTGGTGGTTAAAGGTCGAGGAAGTGGGAAGATAGAAGGGGGTTCACTTGTCACATCTCGAGTGAGGTCGGACTTAATCAAGATTTTACTCGTTATTATCATTTACAATTTTTTCATAAAACTCATCTCTACTCTCAAAATTAAGCTTTATACCATTTAATAATGATTACAGGAAATCCTCGTTAGTTCGAAATTCAGGGGACGAAATATTTGCGACTTCGAAAAATTGAATTTCGAATTATTCGAGATTTACATATTTCTGTACAATGTGCCAAATGCCATGTAACTGAAGTCATTTATTAAGAAAACGGAATACGATTACTTATACAGAACGTTATTTTCGTTAATTAATAAATATTAATTATAACAATACTAGCAGATAAGACCGGCGTTGCTCGAGCAAAAAGTAACAATAGCGAAGATTAAGATTATTACATTATAACCAATCTTACCCGTTTTTACAGAATGCAAGAATTAGAAAATTTTTAGATGCGCTAGGAAGTGTTAACAATGAAAGTGTTAAGAATGGAAGTACAGTAATTAAGTAACAATGAAAGTGTTGAGAGAAAGCGACATGCAAGATTTACAGGCGCAGATGCGTGTTTTTGCGTTTCTTCGGGAAATCGAACATATTTTTAGACCCATCTAAAAATTTTCTAATTAGTCTGTAAACAGGAGGATTTAATTCTTGCATTCTGTGAAAACGGGCAAGATTGTCTATAATGTAATAATCTTAATCTTCTTGCGTTTTAACAGGGTACGTCACGAGAATGTACACTAAGAAGGCATTTTTCGAAATTCCCCCGCGGGGGAAGTGTTAACAACCTTTTTCCCGCGGGGGGAATTTCGAAAAATGCAAGAATTAGGTCTCCCTGTTTCCAGACTAATTAGAGACGTCACTGTCGTTATTCTATGCACTTTAACCGAAGTGGAAGAACTAATCTCGAATAGTGATTATATAGTGTCGAATAGTGTCGAAGTATCTACTAGTGCCGAAGTCCGAAAATTGGGATGGAAAGTCAAGTCTAGTTGATTAAGTCGTAGCCGGGTGAAAGGTCCCTTCTGGTGTCTGTGTGACATTCGGTGAAAAGTCGAAATCTGTGCAAGAAGGCCTCGGCAAAGAAAAACTTTATGTTTTCCAGCAGCAAAACAACCACTTCCACCAAGGCTTTTTTCGCTCGACGGATTCTTCCACCAATTTTTCGGACTCCTTTCTGTCGAGTCCCGTATCAAGTGATCGTGTTTCGACCGTTCATTCCGGAACTTCGGGATATCGCCGATCCAGATAATGGACGAGGGACCAGGCGCTGTCGTCCGAGTTTTGACGATCACCCGTTTGACGTCGGGTGTATGCGACTCCTCCGCATCTTTCGGAAACACCCGTATAACACGAGGCGAAGACGAAACGTTATACTCCGGCTCAGCATGGCCCGAGGTGGGCCACTCTTTCAATTCTGTGAAATTATCCATTCTGCAAAGAAAAATGAGCGAATGTTGTGAAAACAGAACTTGCATTAATTAAGAAATACTGTATTCCTATTCTAATCTGAATTGTAAATTTCAAATCAAAAATTATTGTTTTAATTCTTTCAAAGTCAGAAATGAAAGTTATACAGTGGTACCTCAGGATCCGAACGCCCCAGCATACGAAATTTTCAGGATACGACATGAAATTCGAACATATTTTTGCTCCACGATACGAACAAAAACTCACCATACGATATCGGTTACATTAGTTCGCAGCGCCATTTTTTATTCACTTCTGTCTCAGTCCGCGTGTTTGCTTCGTCGTGGAAGGATCTCGCTCGATAAAGGAAATCTTGAGGTATTATCAGAAAGTGACTGATTTTATTGAAAAGAAACATCCCAAAAAGGTTCATACTGGCCGTATTGCTGCTCAGAGTAATGACATTTGCCTAAGTCATTTTAAAACATTTTAAAAAGTAGGCAAAGCCAAACCTCTTTGGATAGATATTTTACCAAGCGACCTCTATCCAGTGAAAGTGCTGG